TCTCTACAACTTCTAAGACAGCTTTAAAATGTCAGTATTTTTTATTCTTAATATGGGGAAATTATTCAAGACCAAAAGAATCCAAATAGATATTAACATTAAATGCTGTTTAATTATGTTCCAGGTTTGGGGGTGGGGAGGAGACAGCCATAAAATATATCGCTGGAACAACTGAGGTGATGAGAACATATACAGATAGGTACCACAGTGGAATCACTGTTAATTTTCACTACAGTGAGATGACTTTGAAGATCCCTGGGCATGTTACCAGGTAAGAAATGGTCTGCTAACCACAAGATCGGCAGTTCAAACCCACCAACTGCTCCAGAGAAGAATGATGACGTTACCTGTTCCCATAAAGATTTACAGACTCCGAAAACCTGTATCGGGGTTGTTATGAGTGAGAACTGACGCGATGGCAGGAAGTTTGGGTTGTGGGATTCTGACTATCATGGTCAATTTTCTTAGGGAGAATAATGGGATTGTGTAGGTAATTATGATGTGAGATATATAATGAATTTTATAGACTGAATTGTGTTCTGCCAAAATATGCTGAAATCCTAACTCCTACACCTACAAATTGCAATGTCCTGTAACATGACATAATCATCTTCCACAACGTAGTATGCAATCTAGCATGATGTTAATGGGAGCATGCCAGTAGAGGGTGTGTCTTTTTTATAACTTCTGACATGAAATTCTAAAGTAGCATTTCTCAAAGGTTCTCCAAGATCTCTTCAAGGGGTCAGTGAAGTCATCACTATTGTTTTAAAGACATGAAGACAAGACTGGCTGTTCACTGAGTTGACATCTGCACTATTATAAACCCACCACCACCAAGTGGATTCCAACCCACAGCAACCCTATGCAGGGTTTCTAAGGCTGTAAATATTTACAGTCCAGGGAACCTTATTTTTCTCTCAAGAGCAGCTGGTGAGTTTGAACCACCAACCTTGCCTTTAGCAGTCCAATGCTTACCCAATTGTTATAGCAAAGGCAATGGTGGGCCAAACTACAAGTACCAGAGCATGAACCAGTAGAGTGGCACAAAACTACAATGTGTTGCCCATCCACAGTAAGTAAATAAATACTGTTTTACTTACTTACAAGTGTCCTAAAAATCATGAAAAAAAAATACTTTTGCTAATTCTTGACACCAAACAGCAAGTCTTCTTAATGTGTGGTAGGATGAAATGGGAAGTACACAAAAAGGACATCTATTCCACACTAAATAATTACAGTTATTACAAAGTGAATTAACTTTTTTCATGGAATGCCATTTATCTGAAAGTGAAATCATGATTACTCAGATTTGAGAATATGGCAGACCAAATTCTTCCAAAATGAACACAATTAGAGTATTATAAGAAAAACACAATAGTTGCTCCCCTAGTAAAACCTGGGTTCTCAAGCAAAAGTCAGAATTTAAAAATTAGGATTTTAGAAATCTTTGATGTGTTCCCGTGAGCTTGGCTGTTTCTCAATACCTTAGAGGCTTTATGATGCTCAGTGCTAACATACCCAAGTGTAACTTCTGTATATTCCATAGAAAGTTGTATCAATATTGGGAAGCTCTGCGTAATTCAGTGAATCAACCAACCAATATTCAATAGTATAAAATCTAAAACCTTCAGGATGGAGTATACCTCAACATTACAAAAACCCTCAGAACTGGACCAAACACCACAGTAAACAGAGAAAAGATTTTAAGTTGTCAAGGGTTCCATTTTAGTTGGATTTACAAACGGCACGCAT